TCGCCTACATCGTCCATATAGGACGACTCGGGAACTCAACTCCTACCCCGGGCAGCTCACCGATCCCCTTATGCCCAGGGGAAAGGTATCAAGCCGTTTGACAGCAGATGCTGGCTGTCAAACCGGCTTTTACGCAAAACAGGCGGGAGGCAGCAAACAGCTGCGACCAGCGAAATCGCCTGCCACCGGAAGTCTTCACTAGCAGAGTGTTTCTCAACCGTGACCATTTTAAGGCATGTGGACCTCAACTCCCAGAATTCCACAGCCAGCAATGCTGGCTGTGGAATTCTGGGAGTTGAAGTCCACATGCCTTAAAATGGTCAAGGTTGAGAAACACTGCACTAGCAGCAGAACTTAAAAAGAATATGGATCTATCCTTGCTCTCCTTGATTCCTGGTAGCCTTCGATACCATTAACCACAAAGGGCTTAGACCAATGGTTCTCAACCTTTTTAATGCCGCGACCCCAACCGGTCGTAAGTCGAGGACTAAACCGGTCGTAAGTCGAGGACTAAACCAGTCGTAAGTTGAGGACTAAACCGGTCGTAAGTCGAGGACTACCCAACCGGTCGTAAGTCGAGGACTTTCCCTGCCTGGGAGCGCCGCGCATGCGTGGTTCCGCCCCCTGCGCCGGCCGAGGCGTAGCTGGCAAGCGGCAGAGATGGAGCAGGCCGACCACCAGCTGGCCCAGCCCAAGGGAGGTAAGGCACCCGCCGGAAAAGGGAGGAAAAATGGCAGACAAAAAAAATGGCGGACAGCCTTGCTTGGCGACCCCCATTAAATGGTCGATCGACCCCCAAATGGGGTCCCGACCCACAGGTTGAGAATCACTGGCTTAGACTGCCACTTCTGGCAACAATCTAAGCTGCTGCCCAAAGATCTCTCCAAAAAGAAGTACTGCAAGAATTTTATCCATGCAACCACTATCCTAATGCAACCCATTTTCAAACATATTCTTTTCTTTGCTCTCTGTCACCAAGTTTGGGTGCATTTTGTTAATTTTTCAGAGATTTACCACCCTCAAGAATAGACAGATGGTGTCTCATCTCCCTTTACATAATTTATCTTGAACGTTCCAACAAACTATACCCATAAGACTAAAAGGTTTCCCATTTTAAACTCAAATTCTAACACCTTCATGATATAGGAATAAAATGTGCTGGTTTTTGCTGCCTTCATGCTAGAATACTTGAAATAACTTGGAATAAACATACTGCTGCTTTTCCTCCACCCTAAAGAGAGTATATATATTTATTAAAGCATGTTTAAAAAATAAGTTACATTTTAACTATACAGATAGTCCTTAAAACCGGTTGTTTAATGACCGTTCAGAGATATAATGGGTTTCTGAAAGGATGCTTTATCACCTATAAAGCATTAGCAGCCAATTGTAAAATGTTACATGCGCGTGCGCACGCACACACACACACACACAGCCACATGACATTTTGGTTATTTGGGAACCAGCTCACATTTACAACTGGTTGCAATGTTCTACAATTATGTGGCCGTGATTTGTAACTATTTTGCAAATTTCTGGTAATTTTTGCTGATTTCCGACCAAAAAATACCCATTTGTGAGAATGGATTCAAACTTATGATCATGTGATTAACTTAACAAACTTATATGGTGATAAATTTGGGTGTGGTCTTATGGGTGCCTTGACTTACAACCCTGTCCTAATTGCAGTTGTAAGTTTAGGACTACCTACATAGCACCTATCTCAGTGATTCTTAAAGTGTTTGTGTCAAATAATCTTTTTCCCAGTTTTAAATAACATCCTTACTTCCACAAAAACAATGTTGTTTTACATAAGCATCTGGACAGAGGTAAGTCCATAATTACAACCTCAAATCAGAAACAAGCACTTAGAAATTGTCCCATCATCCCAGAATATGCCCAAAGAACTACTAGTCTAAAACTCCCTTCTTTTACCCCAAAGTCAGAAAAAGATAGCTGCATCTATTTTCTGCTGTCCCGTTCTCTGCTACTTTCTAGGCATTTGTTTGCGAGAACCTTGTATTGTAGGGCACCAGTTGTTGACCTTGTCTCTACTATTAAAAACTCCTAAAAGATTATAGATTATTGCTCATAGTAAGCGTACAAGATGAACTTTTATCATACAAAAATATTTTTTTCATAATCATAGGGCTTCTATATAAAGAAAGAATCATGAATATGTCTCATGCAAGGGACAATGATTTGACACCTACACAATTGCTAAGTAATTACTGGATACAATATCAGAGAGGAAAACCACACTATGTACATGACATTTATATACAATTTGCCAGTATACAGTATGCATTTTCCCTTCAAAAGCTACTGGAAAACTGGAGACTCCAAAAAAACCTGGCGGGAAACTCAGAACATGTTTTTGTTATGTAAGAACAAAATCAAAAAGAACACATACAATTTCTTTTTTAAGAAAAAGAGAGGAACATATAAATGACAGGTAAAACTTCAATAGATTCTTTATTACAGACTGCTTAGATGCCTTACATTGACAATGAAACAGAGTGGAGGTTATTTTAGGCAATTTGTCCATGTCATAATTAAATTTGGAAAGAACATTTCTGAGCTTTTGGAGCATCTGGTAAAAACATAATACTAGTCCATTAGAAACTGAGAACTGGCCACAGAACGTTGTGATCCCAGCTTCCTGCTTTTTAACATTTTTGCTTTGTTAGTAAACTGAGACTTTGGGTTCAGGAAGCAAGCCAAGCTAGCACTCACTAAATGTTCTGGCATCAGCATTGCATTTTAATGCAATGCCATGTCAGCTTTTACTCCTCAGTTATCATTTTATTAAAGAAAGGGAGAGAGAGAGAGAGAGAGAGAGAGAGAGGGAGATCAACCTTCTAAAAGAAAGCATTTCCTTTTGCTAATATTATTTAACAGACTGGTAAAAATGGAGTGATAAACAAGGAAGGAACTATTAACATCTGTGTTGTGTAAAGTTCCGAAACTAATTTAAATAATTTCTATATTTTATAATATGAATTTGTTTTATTTCCACAATAGATAGGCTACAGTTGATAGTGAGAGAATCATATAGTAAAGGATCCCATTCTCAGCTCTATGTGCCCAGCTTTTTAAATGGGGAAATAACTAAATAATGATAATGTATATAATTCGGTGCAATTTCATTCTCACAAACATGATCGATGAAAAAATAAATAATAATATAATGAAGAAGGAAAGAGATTAAAGAACATATATGGGCAAACAAAGCATTTAGAAATTCAGTTAGGGTTATTCTTTATTTTATTTATTTATTTGTTAAATGTTTATGCTGCCCATCTTCTCTATAAGGTGACTTTTTATGTTTTTTTAATACTTCCTTGGGTGTCAATTTCTTCTTGGTTGACAAAGGTATGAGATAAAGCAGGGGTCCCCTACCCCCTGGCCACAGCCCACTACCAGGCCGTGGCCTGTTCAGAATTGGGCCATGTGAGCGGCTGGCAGGAGCAAATGCACGCAGTTCGACTTGGGCAAGCAGTGGGCTGGCGGGCACTTAGGCGCGTGCCAGCCCATTGCTTGCACAAGTCAAGCTGCGTGCATGTGGGTCGGCCCGCAGCTTGCACTGCCCAGTTCCCCTCTGTCCTCCCCCTAGCAGGACTGCCAAGCCGAAAAATTTGGGGGCTGATGAGATAAAGGATGCTTTTATACCAGTAAGCCATGGAAACAGAACAATTTAATTTTAACAACCTTTCATGAAAAAACATACCCTACTAAATCTTTGCATTGCTGACACAGTATCAACAATAGAACTGCTCCTTGTTTTATAATGAGTTGCCAGAGGAAAAAAATGATTGGGGAAGTCAATCTATGTCATACAGAGAAGCTTGTGGCAAGACTAAATAGGAGATCAGAAGTTGACTGAGATCAGAAAAGAAAAAGCGGGAGAGGGGCGGAAAGTGACAATCAAGATTAGCCCTTCTTACAGTAACTGGGCAAAATATTGCAGTTTTAGTTTTGTACACTTGCAAAAGAAATGTCAGTAACCAATGGAAAAAAAAAAGGGGGGGGAGATGTGAATTGAGGTTGTGTGTAACAAAGTATTCTTCCTGAACAAGTGTTCCATTCTATCCTCTACTCTGGATCCTTTAATACAGTGGTTCTCAACCTTTTTAATGCCGCGACCCCAAGCGGTCGTAAGTCGAGGACTAAACCAGTCGTAAGTCAAGGATTACCCAACCGGTCGTAAGTCGAGGACTTTCCCTGCCCAGGAGCGCCGCGCATGCATGGTTCCGCCCCCTGCGCCAGCCGAGGCGTAGCTGGCAAGCGGCAGAGACGGAGCAGGCCGACCACCAGCTGACCCAGCCCAAGGGAGGTAACGTACCCGCCGGAAAAGGGGAAAAAATGGCGGACAAAAAAAATGGCGGACAGCCTTGCTTGGCGACCCCCATGATATGGTCGATCGACCCCAAATGGGGTCCCGACCCACAGGTTGAGAACCACTGCTTTAATACAAATGACTGAGAATGTGACATATGCCTGGGATGGAGAAGTGAGAAGAGCATGCACATATTGCTAAGAAACAAAACAGAGCACCACAGATTGCTGAATGCATATAGGTATATATTTAAAGCCCACCATTTACCTGGAATACTTGCAGGAGAAATGGGACCAGACCTTGACTGATTGCTTCCGGCTGGAGAGCCCACAGGGGAAGGGGATGGGCCCCCAGGGATGCTGGACAGATGTGGAGAGGCATGAGGGGAGAAAGGTGACTGTGCTGGGTTGCTCTGCTCCCCTTGACTGCTAGTAGAACCTGATGCGCTAACAGCTGAACTCAATGTTGCTTCAGTTCCAGTAGGCAGGTCATCAATGGAGCCTGATAAATCCTGAGAAGAAAGAGCAGGGGAAATCGATAAAATAGTAGCCACCAATATCCACAAAAAGGTACACGGAATATTGGAATGTGTTTGAACAAATTCCAATTTGGGGCTAATGTCGCGAACTAATAACAAGCAATAAAAATGGAAATGAATTCCCCCTTTCTTATATAAAAATGCACAAAGCATACAACTTGTACATGTATCAAAATTTTCCCAGACATTAGTGCAATTAAAGGGACAATATACAGATTTTAATTCTTCTAATATGGTTATTAAAATATGATTATTGAAACTGGACCAGGGAGGGATCTCTTCCATAGCTCATTCATATTTTAGTCTATGTATTTTCCCAAATTATATTGACATTGTACAGGACTTCATTCATGCATATTATTTATGCTCTCAGTATTTAATTCTGTGCCTTTATTAGATGAATATCATGTACTGATATTGGGGAGCAATACAGAGTTTGATATAAGCTGGGCAAGTACATAAATATTTTAAACAAATAAAAAAACAAATATGTAAATTCTATTAAAATATACTGCCAAACTACAAATTTTAATCCCTGGGCTTTTTTTTTCTTTTTAAATCCTATATATAAATGCATTTATGATGCCCTGGGAATCTCTAGAGGCACTAAAATTAGAAAAAGTTTGGGATGTAATGCCCTAATGCCTATTGGAAACAGAAACACATTAATGCAAAGTTTGTTCTGATGCACTGCTTACACCCCACTGTAGAAAATACTCAACCACTTAGTGCCTCTTGGGCTCCAGTGGTTATGTTTTTATTTAATTATTTTCCCCAAACATAAATTAGGTTACTCAAGGAGATTGCTCAACCAAAACTATTACAAATAATATAATACAATTAAATTTGGTTTAGGCCAAGGCTTTTCAACCAGTGGTACGGGTACCACCTGTGGTACATTGGCACCTAGCAGGTGGTACGCGACCATCCTAGAAAAGTGGTAGCAGGGGAGGGGAATAAGCTGAACCGGTGGCAGCACCGCACAAGCCTGAGCGAGAGATGGCTGGAGCTGTAGGGCTGTCAGGGCTCAGCGGAAGTGCCAGGATCAGCGCCAGGCTCCAGCTGGAGCTCGGTGCTGATCCTGGTGCTTCTGCTGAGCCCTGAAGAAGCACCAATCAGCTGGAAAGCAGCACTGATCCTGGCGCTTCTGCTGAGCCCAGAAGAAGCTCCGATCAGCTGGAATATTGCAGCATCTCCAGGGTCTTGTGATTTACATTCAGATGCTTGGCAACTGATTCATATTTATGACGGTCACAGTGTCCCAGGGTCATATGAAGTGACCAAAACCTGCTGCAACCACCCAGCAGACGGGGGGGGGTGGGAATAAAAACCAAACATCCCCCCACCCCACCCCCGCTGCCAATCCTCAACAGAAATGCTCACAACAATGGAAACCTCGGACAGGAAGAATGCGGCCGGGTGGGCAGGCAGGTGTCTTGCTCAGCTGTGGCTTGGGGGGCACTTTTTTCAGTGCCATTGTAACTTCGAACAGTCACTAAGCGAACTTTTGTAAGTCGAGGACTACCTGTACTTTATCACTTTTTTCCTTTTTTTTTTTTTTGGTCATCACGTTTTTGACACCTTGCTAGGCAATATTGCCATATCCTAAAAGTGGTACAATGGGTGAAAAGGTTGAAAAGCCCTGGTTTAGGCTCTTACAGATAGTATTATAGTTGCACCAGGTATATGCAACCACAATGCCAATGAGCCACTGCTAACACAAAGGATATGAATGGACAGACTGGGGACATGATGAGGCTACAGCAGAGGCGAGTAAGAATCTTAAGCAGCCTTAGAAGTTGGTCTTAAGTTCAACAACAGGTGGCATAAGAAAAACATTCCGATCAGATGGAGTGCCAGAATTCTGATTATTTCAGACCCCACACTTGATCTTCTTACAGACCTATTGTGATTTTCTAGTGATGATTCTGCAGTGCAGTTGCTTTGATGATATAGACAAAAAATGTTTAAATATGAGGAAGTGAATGTGTGAGAAATATCTCTCTTTTTTTGTACAGAAATGCAGTCACTTTTCCATAAAGAATTTTGCTTTCACTGTTGTCCTTGAGAGAAAAATCATAGCAATTCTTTTTCTTTATGTGAATACATTGTAAAACAATCATACTTCTGGCTCTTTACAAGTCTCTTAATTAATTGCTTCCTGAATTGCTTCCTGAATTAAATCCAAGAACATATTGCCCTCAGTATTTCTAGAAAGCAAATTAGCTATATAATGAGAGAATTTAACAATTTCTTTTGATTTTTTTTTCTTAACAGTAGTTTATCTGATCATTATTCTGATGAAATGGATAATTACTTTTTTTTAAAAAAAAAAAATTGAGCTGCCCACAATGAATGCTATCAAATCCTGGGTACGTGAGGAGGTATTACAGTGATGCCAAGTTGTTCCAACAGCAAATTTATTGCAAATGTTGCCTAATTAAAAAGCAGCAAGAAAACCTTTCTAAAAATAAACTCCGTATCACTTACCTCTCACAATACACAAGATTCCAGAATCCACAAGATTCTGGAGAAAGGGAGGGAAGAGAAATTCTTAATTCTGAAATAAGTGCAGTACAAATCTCTAGTATCTTGCAATAACTTATTATTCAGAACTACTACTATTTTCCTATTGCAATCTTACGTTGCAACAGAATAATGCAAACTATAATGGGAAAGGGAGCTGGGGAGGTCTAAAAAGTGCCTCTTTATCATTTAAAAAAACAACTTTGATCAAGAAATAACAATACAGTAACATAGGAAAGAGAATGTTTAATCAAAAAATAAAAATGGAGCAATATGGGATTCTTACATACAATATGTTTGTAACATTGTATGGGAGTTATAAAAAAACAAATAACATAATGAAAATCTTCAATTAGGCACAGGTCAGAATTCCAAATAAGGAATTATTTGGATATATGACCCTTGTTTAATATTTTTCCCCATTTGTTAATTTCAAAATAATAATTTTGGTGGCAACTTTCAGAGAAGTTTATATAGATTAATGTACTACAGAGAATTGTCTATTGACAAATTACTATTAGTTAACTGACACCAACACTTGAAAAGTAGTTAGAGATCATATATGTAGAAACATAGAAACATGGAAAACTGACGGCAGAGAAAGATCTAGCAGTCCATCTAGTCCACCCTTTGAGGGTTTTTAAATCATTTTTTTCCCCTTACAGTCAACATAAATCCCAGTATTGGGTGGAGAAAAAGGTCGATTCTTGGATGAATAAAATCAAAATACTGTTATGTATTTCTCCAGCACAAAATCTGCATATGTTAGATCATTTTTGTAAATAAAGATTATAAGCAAGAAGCATGACCTGCATAACCTGTAAAAAAAGCCTGACTTGAATTTATGGGATACTGGGTTCACCTAAAAAGAGCTCCACAATGGATGTGCCTTGCCTGGGAACAGCCCATGTTATAATATCAATGGGTAAGATAACATACAATGAAACTCCTTTTTCTCTCATGTAAGGTTTTTAAGAAGAGATTGGACAACTATTTGCCTGAAATGGTGTAGAGCAGTGATGGCGAACCTTTTAGAGACCGAGTGCCCAAACTGCAACCCAAAACCCACTTATTTATCGCCGGGTGCCAGGTGGGCGTGGCCCACTGGGTGGGCGTGGCTGTGGTGGTCATGGCAGATTGGGTGGGTGTGGCCAAGGTGGGCGTGATCACCTCAATGTTGCTCGTGGGGAGGGACACCTGTGGGGGCCAGGCAGGGTTGGGGGAGATCCAGGGGGTCTCTGGGAGGTGGGGCGGTAGGCAGGAGGCTCGTGCTGCGGAGTGAGACGAGGCAGGGCGGGGGTGCCATTGTCACAGGGCAAGGTGAGGCAGGGGCCGGGGCCGGGGCGGCTGCTGCCTGACACCATCAGCCCCTGCACACAGAGGCCAGTGAGCACATGGGTACTGGGATACATCCGGCCATGTGGGACCTCAGCAAGTTAGCGGGCAGCTGGTTGAAGAGGGATGGTTGCCATCTCCAGGGCATGGCGTGCGTGCCCACAGAGAGGGCTCACGCGTGCCATAGGTTTGCCACCACTGGTGTAGAGTCTCCTGCTTGAGCAGGGGACTGGACTAGAAAATCTCCAAGGTCCCTTCCAACTCTGTTAATTTTGTTATTCTGTTGATCTTGGAATCTTTTAAACTGGGCAATCTATTTGTACAACACAAAGCTAACGTCGCTTCTGTTTTAAATGCATAGCAGACAGCACAAGAGCTAATCAGGGCACATTTTATGCAACTGACACCTTTAGTCCACTCAGTGCTACAGCGTCTAGAGGTTTTCCTTTCTCTGCATAATACACAGCTCCATTTACCAAATCTCTCTTTCCTTACCAACTATGCACAACAGTAATTATGGATCCCAACTGAGTTACCCAAGCTATATTCTCATCTATCACTGGAAAACAATAATAATTACTAAAAAAAAACTGAGTAGCCCATTTCCTTTACAATGACACTGTTGAAATATTTTTTCTTCAAAGCTAAAACACATTTGTTCATTAATTACTGTTTCTGTGAATTATTATTTTTCACTCACAGAGCTGTAAGTTAGTCAAAATTAAACAAAATTTCTTACTGTTGGAACACTAAATTTATTTACTTAGATATGGCATATCATACATGGATTTGCCAAATATATTAACATTTCAGCTAGATTAATAAAACATAATAAAATATAAATCTTTAAAAGGTCTATATACAAATACCAATGTCTAGGCCATCTAATCATTGAGTAACACAGTAAAAACAATGGCTAATAGAATAAATCAGTGATGGCGAATCTTTTAGAGACTGAGTGCCCAAACTGCAACCCAAAACCCACTTATGCATCGTTGGGTGCCGGGTGGGTGTGGCCCATTTGGCCCATTGGCTGAGTGTGGCCGATTGGGTGGGCATGGCCGATTGGGTGGGCATGGCTGCGGTGGTAATGGCAGACTGGGTGGGACTAA